CATTTAGAATGATATCTGGTTCCTGCTGCTTATCTGATGAGAATATGATCCAAGCAGATCAATTCACACTCACTCCTTTATTACAGTCACCTGCAACTTTCCCTCCATTTTTAGTACACATTCTATTAGTATCACCATCATTGGTATCATCATTATCAGTAGTGGTGGTGTTGGTTGATTCTAATGCCAGTATCATTGTCAGTAGTGTTTCCAGTGCTAATAATGTTGGTTGATGATATCGTGTGATAAGAGCTGGGGAATGCTTGCTGTATAGAGAGAAAAGCAGTTCATCAAACTTAATATGGAACATAAGTACATGTATATGTATCAGAAAAAATTATAAAAATGGAGAATTCTCATCTTTTCATTTTTGGCAAAATTTGGCCAAAATCACTGTACAATTATAGTACAGGTACTTTAGTCAGATTTTGGAGAAACTTTAAAAATTCATTATAAATCCAATCTTGATCGGAATTAACTCAAACTTTCTACACAACATAAGAACATGTACAATGCATATGCATCAGAAAATAATTAGTAAATAAACAACTTTTTCCTAATAAATTTTAGCAAAATACCCCGTACTATAGTACAGGGTAATTGGCTAAGCTTAATAACAGCTGATGGCTGACATACCTTAGCAAGTAGCTTGCTCAGTCTCTCGCACACATTAGTACAGTAGGTACTGCAATCATAATTAACATATAACTCTGATACAAAATTATGAATGTGACAAAACTAAAGAAAAGAGAGACAAAAATTTATTAAACTGTGACGAATCTCGTGTACATAAATGTACTCTTTCTTAAGACATTAATTAAGACATTAAGACATTAATTGAGACATTCTAATGTTAGCTCTTGTCTGCCTGCTTGAAGTCTTGACTGATCTAATTGTATTGTGTGCATTAGCTTATTAAGGAACCACTGAGAGAGAGAGAGGGAGAGGGAGAGAGTGAGAGAGAGAGAGAAGTATTTAATGATCCACCTACATGTATGTGTTTCTTTCTTTACCTCCAGCTGTAGTTTGAGATGATGACAATTTGAATCAAAAAGAAGAAAGCACTTTGTCAAAGAGCGACCATAAACATCAGCAGATTCGTTCTGAAGCAACTAACAAATTATAATTTAACACTAACTGAAATACGTACTTCGTAAAGTTGCTCATTTACAGTAAGTAAGTGATGGGAGAGTCCGTCTTGCATGAGAACTCTCAGTGATTTAATGTCCCCAAGACTCTTCACGCCACACTCCAAAATAACAGTCACCAAATCCAACCCAATGCATATCACTCATGTGTCATTCCTTTATGGAGGAAAGGAAGAGAGAGAAAAGAGAGAAGATTATATGATTAAATAAGAGATCAATGGGCACACAGCAATTCACCCAAATTAAGCACTCCAAACTATCTACATTGTACAACATACATGTACATGTAGCTACGTAAAATAATAATGAATATCATCATTACCTGACACGAGTCTCTGTGAACAACAAGAGCTAATGAGAGCATCTGTAATGAGAGAGAGAGAGAGAGAGGAGACAAGAGTATTTGGAAAAGTGAGAAGTGTTGTGGTGAATTGCATGTGACTGTGACAAAAAGGAAGTGCCATTAAGTAATAATGTCAATGAACAGCAAATTTATTTCAAGCAAGATGTGATAAATTTCACCAAATTATAAAATAATGGATTCCACAAGTTTCACTAAGAGGAATTG